CCTTTCCCCACTTGGGTCATGTGACACGTCATGTTCCATCTTGGTTTTCACACACGGTCAGGGCAATTGGAGCCCCGGCACTAACCGCTTTCGGGCACAGAGGTCGGGGTCTAGTAAGCGAATGGTGATCGCCTCGGCCATAGTTAGTGTCCAAACTCGGGCTGCCCTCGAACGATTGATTGGGATGCGTTAAGCCACATCGAAAGCTTTCTACGGTTCCATCTTGTGGCCGGTGTCGACGAAATGCCCCATNGATACAGCCGGTTTTTCCCTGACTTCGCGGGTGGTGCTCCTTAACACGTTGAGACAAACGCCTTACCGTACGACCTATGTAAAATGCGCCACAGACACACTTAAAAGAGTAGATTATCATGGATGAGATCAGTTTCGGCAGTTTGTCTTTCACTTGCATTCGCATCACCGGTGATGTACAGAACACTGGTGTAAGTTTGGCTGCGGAGAAAGTGGAATTTACAGCCGCCTTCAGTGATCGTACTAGGCTCTCTGCGTGTCAGTCCCCGTTAAATGGGATTTTTATAAATAGTTCTTTCTCGCGGGGACATAGATAGAGTTTTCCTTCTCCGGAGTGAGCCGAATGTTCCTATCAATGAACTTTTCCGGATAGCCATTGTCTCTGCCTCAGAATAGTAACCTTTAAATGAACCACTGGCTATCATTATGTAAGAATTTTTTCCCCTATATGATATGTAAGAGCATGACTAGAAATATCCGAAAACAATTGTTCGCTCACATATCTTTTGGTGAGTACGAGTAGTGGTGAGGAGGAATTTTAGAAAAAGATTGTATTGCGCATTTAATAAATAGAATCCTCTAATGGCCACTGGCTCGAATTTTGCCTACCCTTTCAGATGTGTTCGACAAATAAGTGAGAAAGGTTGCCATCACGTCAACTCGTTTGTATGAATACTGGGTCCCTCACGATTGCTCGAATCATCGCTGCTCTGCCATGTCAGGCTATCTTTCATTGGTTCTAGTTCTGCTCACCAAAAGTATGTAAGTGATTGGTAACTCAATGAAATGAGTCACTCAAGGGTTATTTAGTTGTGTTACGTCATTGGGATGTATTACCATCAAATGGAACCGTCTAAGTAGCGTTCCTGAATACTTCCTGAACCGCGTGTTGTTTACTATTGGTCTATTCAAACAGGTGGTCGTGGAGCCACCTGGGAAGAATGGTCCGGTTTGACCGCCTCGGACAGCACCAGTCTGGCAGCTCTTGACTTCTCCAATGCGATTTCCGGAGCAACCAATCAAAAAAGTGCAACAGAAGAGGCACAAGTGAATTTTCCACTGCGGTCAACAAATGGATCTACGGTTCTGCGATTGCATAACATGTTCATTCCACCCTGGAATTCGGACTATCAGTTTGAGGTGTCCATATCCGGGACAATGGGATTGCTTGGGGGATTTCCGAAGAGAACTGTTGTAAGCACTGTTCACCTTTTTTCTTTAACAATTATCATACAAAGACATTCAAGATAATGAAATCCCTAATTCTAAGTCCAAACCATCGGCTTGATTTCAGAGCTGATCGTTCTGTTTTCAAGCTCATCAGAACTTTGATTTGTTTTTCTATATTGTTATCAAACGAGCTTTAGAAATAACATTCCGTTTGCTGAAATAAAAATAAATACTTGGAAATGAGCTAAAGAGAACCCTATTGTGTTCCCCACTTTAGGTCTATGGATATTTCTTATGTGATGGTCACTGTGAGAATTGGTGCCAAAAACCTGCCACTGTTTGCCGGCATTCAACTGCAACATTGCAGAAAACTGTTTTGTTAGTACATTGACTATTGAGTTTTCT